ATGGCGTCCCGCGCGCGGAAAATCCTCTCGAATTTACCGCACTTGCTGGTAGATACGATATTATGTGGGCGCTCGTCCCGGTACGCGGATATGTTCTCGTACTTACGACGCGACGGCGATTGATTAAAACCACCTTCGATTTTTCGTACGCATTATATCGTCTCTCTGTTTGTCAGTTGCCGCACGTAAAAAACGCAATGCCGAATGCAAAAGGCGCAAACGGAACGAATATGTTCAACCGCAAACGTCGGGTTTACGGATAAATACAATGAGGTTGCGGGTAACGTAAACGTAATGTCATTTTACAAAATCGGAGTTTGTGGGTCGAACCGAACGAAAACAACACGCGTTATTTGTTTAGATAAGAGAACGCGAAACGCGTTTTTTGTTCGAATATATGTATACCGAGTAATTTAATTAGAATGATGTATATTAACACGACGGGCAAATATTAACACCGAGTACCGACAATTCCGGAATTGTGTTGGTTGAAATTATTTACGCACTACTCCGCAATAATAACTCGATTGGTAATAGTTAGGTAAGTATACACGAATTGTGGATATTTTCTGCTATTTTTAATAATAATTCATCTTGTCTCAACACTTTATTACTGATGCGATAAAAACATACTAACAAGTTAAGTATAGTTGTGTTTTAATTTGATAATCTAACAATGTTGCCGGTTACTGAGATAACTACCAACTCTATTATCTTATAATTTACTGTGTGGAAACGTATCCACGATAACTTTCTTAATTTCCTTTTACTATTATGTTCGAGAGGAAAATCGTAGTTTTTTTCATTAAATAATCCAGTATTTTCAAAAATGTTTGCAAATTCGGGCAACATTGCGTCGATAAAACAACGCAAGTGCGATTTTTTTTATAAAACGTAAGATAACTGTAGAAATTTGTTTGGATTAGATAAGAAATGTTTGTGTGTGTAATTAACAAAATAATCAATTCGAATAGATAATCTGCGGTCCGTTTGTCTTCCCGTTGCGGGTGTTCGATGATTATTACTGATTATAAAAACCATCATATCATAAAATGTACCTCTATCAGATATTACCTAGCGATTTCGTCTGCAACCGCAACATTCAAAAACTCGAAAGTTTTGAGGCAATCAAAAATTATTTCCTGTTTTGAAAAATTCGAAAACATAATTATGATAAACAAATATTATTTTATTTATAAGAACCATTAGGACCATTTAAAACAGTTCAAGACGATCTTAGAACCATCACAGACTGTACAGAATCATTTAGAATCATTTTAGAACGGACTGGGATTATTTGAGACATTTCAGGACGATCTCAGAACTATCGAAAACTGCCCAGAATTAATTAAGAAACATTTTAAAACTGTTTGTGTTTATTTGAGACAATTCAGGACGATCTTAAAATCTCAAACCCATTGACAACTCTTCAGAATCATTTAGAACATTTTATAGCTGACTATAGGACCATTTGAACCACTTCAGGAGGATCTTATAACAATCCAGAATCATTTAGAACCATTTTAGTAAGGGAATCGAAAATTATTTCCTGTTTTTGGAGACTCGAGAACATTTATGATAAACGAATATTGTTATTATTCATTAGAACTAACCACATTATTGTCTGTTTGTGTTTTCCTTACTTTGTGACAAATGTTTGGCTAGAGATTCGAAAAAAAAAACAATGTTTACCAGTTGAAAAACACTCACCGAGTTTCAACGGAGGCGGTAAATGTTTCCTTCTCATCTTCCTGCTGTGTATCTCAGCCGATAGAAAAGCACATTTCGATTTTTTAAAAAAACACTTTCACAAACATTCCACGGCGTGCGTGCGGATGTGTTGATGGAAATAAATTTTCTTTCGGAACGGATTGGTTCCAGCGCTCTCAAAGTTCTCGTTGCGTTCATCTGACACGTGTATTTTTAGATGAATCGAGGAGACGCGGTTGTTTTCTCGATTTTCGCGGATTTTCTGGACGGTTTCGATTTTGCTCCTTGACGTCTAGCTGATACGGATTACGAGTAAATACTCAGCTGATTGTACGTTATATTTTTTTTTTGGAGTAGCTCGGAAAATCGTTGGTTTTTTTACGAGTTATTCGATGATAAAAACGAAACGATTAGATTAGAATGTGACTGGGTAAAGTGTTATAAAATACTCGTGCGAACGTAATAGGTAAAGCGAAATTTGAAGTCTGTAATTGGAATTTAGATTGAGTAAATTTTGAAGTATTTCTGTACAATCGTTACCTCATTAAAACTCATGTGATTCATTAAAATTTTCTTGATTCATTTTGTAATCATTGATATCTATTTTGAATCTATATACTCTGAATGTACTCTGCATGAATTTACTCGATTAATCTGCTCTGACTCTACTATTAATCTACTATATGAATTTGCTATGAATACCTTATGAATCTGCTCTGAATCTACACCGAATCTATACTTTGAATCTACTCCAAACCTACTATGAATTTAAATATGCTCTGAATATGACCTTAAACTACTCTCTACCTGCCCTTAATCTACTCTGATCCTGCTCTGAATCTATTTTGAATCCACTTTGAATCCTTTCTCTCGCTGAATCTACTCTACTCACAAAATTTCAATATTTCCTGATCTCATTTGTAATCTTTTATCACACTTAATAATTTTTTTTTAATATCAATGAACACCTAAGACACTTAAGAATGGACTACAAACAATAATTAAACGTGTGTTATCGGAAAATTTCTAATATATACAATTTTAAAAGGAAATTATTCGTTTTTACAAAACGCGAAACCATTTATATTCTTGCCTTAACGCCTGTATGTAAATGTTTATACACCCACATACACATTAATAACGCGGCCCTCTTTTACCGTTTCAATTTCAATTTAAATCGGCCAAGGAATCCTCAAAAGGTTTACTTTCCATTAAAATTTTCCGAATGAAAAAGATGAGTTGGCGAACTTCGTCGTTTTCCCTTTGATCTCGGCGGAATAAGATACTTAACGAGTTTTACTTGTTTTAATCAAATGGGCCAAGTTAAAGACAGAAAGGGGATTTAAGGCAATTATTTACGCTGTGGAAAATAATCGGAAAACATTCGTTATTTATTCGCTTTAAAAGATTAATTGGGTACTTATTTGTTAATTATCTTAATTTTTAGGTACATAGGTAGGTAGTTAGTAGGAATTACACATGAAGAAATACTATAAGAAAGTAATTAATTACTTTATTAATTTTATATAAATTGGCTTTTTTGTATAATAAAAAAAATAATTTGTACTAATGGGTCTAATACCAGCATAAAAATAAAATAATTTTATTTAATAATATTAGAATTATGAAAGATAATAAAACAACTTTTCTTGCGACCTTGTCGACTTATAAAGGACAAATGCACCCCTTTCTAAAACAAATTAGCAGTAACCAACCAATCAGAGAACGAATTAACGACCTTGTCAAGAATTTACTATTGTTTACTATATTGTAGTAAAATTTTTTGTGCCTTTAATGGAATTCCATTGCTGGACGATGCAAAACCATACGTTTCTTCTTTTTTTATAATTTAGGGGTGTTACTAATTATTTTATCAATGAAATTTTAATGGCCGCCGTTTAAAAACTACAAATTTCTTCTTTTTTATTAAAGTGGGCGTGGTTAAATAAACATTTTTGGGCAAATGAATTAAACAAATGTCAATTGTCACTACTGTCATTAGTCTGAGAGATTTCTTTTTTTTGTAGTTTGAGGTTATTTTGTTAATGATTATAATTTGTATCCTTTGTATCCTCCACGGTTATATATCTTTAATTGGAATGACATTACTATCATTTTAGTTTTTTCCCATAGACAGGAGATGGCAATACAATCATTTTTTCGATCGTAGACAACCCTCTATGGTATACTGTGTACAGAGGGTTGCCTTTTCGTTTGTGATGTGCCCTGTGATCTACCGATATGTAGGACACTTTCCACTAAATACCGGTAGTGAATTCGTATTTCGTTTTCGTAACCGTCATTCAAACGCCAAGATTTTATCAAAATACAAACTCGCAGAAAAACACAAAAAATAGAAGGAATATTTAGAAAAAGTGAGAAGTGTGAAAATGTGCAAATTAGATAATTTTATATTAATAACTATGTTAACTACATTCCCTTTCAAAATGGAACGTTTTCGTTTTTTAAAATCAATTCTACTGTATTTGTAGTCAATATTATTATTTGTGTTACATTGAAATAAACAGAATATAGAATATAGAAAATTGATTATATTCATAACTTTTTTGTAATTTAAAATTAACTTTTTAACAGAAAACATTTTCTTTAGTTCTTCCCATAGACGCTAGGTTCGCAGTGATTTTTTAATCTGACGGGAGTTGCCTATCTATAACTTTATTACATATCTATGGTATCCTCGTATCCTTTTATCTTTTATGTTGTCACCATAGATTTGTGATCATAATTTTTAGGTAATTTAGCACAAACTATTTTCTTTTAGTTAATCCCTAGTAGGAATAGTTATTTTGTAAGGTTTCCTGTATCTGTCTCGGGTAAATTACAGTTTACTGAATTTGATTCAAAGGGAAAATTACTGATCACTTGGACATTTAAACCATAGATTGAGGATAAATAATATAAATACATATAAATATTACTACTATTGCTAAGGCCTCATAAAAGTTTATTGAAATCTTTACATAACGTTCACGTTGGCTGGTATTTAGCGCTTCTTTTTAACGCTAATTAATCGTTTAAAGAGTCTCTTTAATGTAAACAATGTCTATAGGTACTCTACAACCTTATGCCCTGTGTATATAGTGTTATTATAAGCTTAAAATGATGGCTCGGTAATGTTTGAGTCGATGGAGCTCTATTGGTTTGGATCCTTCGTAGTAACAGGCCTCGATTTTGCATGTTAATTTTAATGTGAAACATTCGTTTCATTATTAATGTGATGATAATAAATAGAAATTACACAGTGACAATTTTCTTTATTTTATTACACACCTGTAGGTGTAGTGTAATATAAGAACACTGGATTATATACAAAATTTTATACATTTATAGACATCACGTCTACGTAAAGTACATCGTAATAGGAAAAAAACGAGAATAAAGACATTTTAAGCACACAATTATTTTAATTCCTAATGAATTATTTTTTTATTGGCTAGTTTAGTTTCGATTTCATCATATCCTTTTACAAAGCCACTCCCATTCACGACAAAAAAAACCAAAACGAATTTACGAAATTTCGGATGCTTAGACGCTTTACTACAGTTTCACGTTCCAGTATTAATCAAAGAAAAAAAAATTAAATAAACCAACAACTATAAAATTTATAACAAACCAACTACTTCTTGCCACTTTTATACGTAAAAACCATAACAGAACCTCATCCGAGTCTATCGAAATCGACACTAATGGTTATCGCTTCGATTCGCCACTCATCTCAACCAGAGCTTGAGCCTTAGAGCGTCCACGCCGTTCAAATAGTATCTAAAAAGGCGTTTGTCTCTCACGAAACCTAATTTCTCGTACAACTGCAACAAAAAATCATCGATTACAGTAAATCATTATTGATTTCCACCGCATTTAGTTAGTACCTGCAGAGCCGGTTTATTGGTAACTTCCGTCTCCAAAACGACCTCATCGGCATCTCCCAGCAGCATTTCGTTAATGGCCATTTGCACGAGATTCGAGCCGATCCTGAGCTTGCGGTAGTTCTCGTCGACCGCCAGCATGGCGATGTAGCCGCGCTTGATGATCTTCCTGTGCAAATCCAGCTTGCAAACGATCGCCCCCACGCACTCCCCCTCGCACATGGCCAGGAAGCACAGCTTCGGCCAGTTGTGTATGAAATACCGGTACGTGTAGATGGAGTACGGCTCCGATAGGTCCTTTTGGATGATCTTCATTATCATGGGCATCTGCAGTTCGGATTCGTATTGTATGAAGTCTATTTTTGGCTTCGATTCCGCTTCGTTCGTACCGATCGGCGCTTCTTCCTCTAAGCTAAGCTCCTTAAGATTATCTAACGGAACGTCCGAATCACCAGAAACTAACGATTAATTAAATGAATAATTATATAGTAAGTAAATGGAGACATACCTTGAGCATCTTGTGTAACGTTATCCGATAGTAGAGATACGATATTCTTCGGTTTATTGGATGATTTATCACAAGAGATATTCTCATTCGAGTCTAACGTCGCTTTAGTAACATTCTTTCTATCTACATTATTTACAACGTCTTCTGTACGTTGGTGTTCAAAGTGCTCGAACACATCATTTACTACACTAGAGTTCTGTTGCGTTTCACTATTTACATTCTCCTGTTTGGCGTTCTTGTTTTTCTTTTTCCGATTGGTTTTTTTGCCGCCCGTCGAGCGATTTACGTGTGCTAGTCCATTGACTAGCCCATTTTTCAGTTCAGACGGTCTCTCGTTTAAAATGCACTTGTTTGATACGTTTAAAGGTGAAGGGCACTTGTCGTCTTTGCTGTGTTTCATGATGGTAGGTGGCTTTTGTCGTTTTTCATCTCAATGTCATTACAATTGCAACGATGAATTTATTATTTGGTTTCTTTGAATGGTTTTTGAAGATAAAATGATCGTCTCTTAGGGCATATTGACGTAAAATTGACAATTCACTGCCATTTTTAGGTTATTTGTTTCTGCTTCTTTTTTGAAAATATGTCGATAATGTCAATGTCACTTGTCAAAAATTTTTCATGTGAGAAATTGAAAATATTTTCAAATTCCACTTAATATATTTGAAGTTTTGAAATTGTATTAGAATAAGCAAGTAAGTTTTTAATTTTTGCATTTATTTCATATTATAAACATGTTAATCGATGCTTAACTAAATTATTGTACGTATATACAAATCTTAACCTCAAAATGGCTATTTTGTAATAGAAATTCTCTGGATTTTTATAGTTGTTTTTAAAATTGTCCAAATTTAACATATTTTAACAACAAAATCATTCAAATTAGTGTTTAATGAACTATAAATAGACATTTATATACTCACTTTTAAGTTTTTAAAAATAGTCACTACATTCTCAAAATAGCATATTTTAGACAAGCAATAAATTTTATCTTCATATATATTTGTCAACTAGTATTACCGAAATATCCTCGAATAAATTCGCAATATCGATAAACGAACTCCACCCAAAATAACTCCCAAAATAACACCCAAAATAACAAAATCAATTTATTTCTATAAGCAAACCTTCTTTAGCTCGTAAAACTCATAATTTATATTCCAGTAATGTCGTTTCCTACGAAAGAGGAACGAACGAAATGCTGGAACGCCAGGGATAGATATTGGGAATGCCTGGATAGCCATTCGGTAAAGTCCGATAATTTGAAAGATGTAAAAGTTTGCACGGAGTTGAGGAGTCTTTACGAAAGCGCTTGTACTGCACAATGGGTTAAACATTTCGATAGAAAGAGGAATTATCTGGTCTTCAAGGAACGGATAGAAAAAGACGGTTTTGAGCCACTGAACAGCGTAAAGTGAACTATTATGTGATTTTTACCAGTGTACATATTTGTTTTTTAGTTGAATAGATTGAAATTGTTAGGTCATTGTGATTGTACAAAATTTTATTTACAACATTCGTATTTTGTCAACTAAACGAATTGGGACAACAGCGACCTATCTTGTATAAATTCCTGGTAGATTTTCTGGATTTTTCCCTTCCAGATCGATCGGTGGTTCTCGATAATGTGACTCATCGGTTTCTCTACTGCTGATAAATCGTCACCCAGCAGTTGAATGACTTTGAGAAGGAATTTTCCGAAAACCTTGTTCATTGTATAATTGTCCCTATTCTTCGACATGAATTCCACTAGCCTATTCAGAGAGGTTGTTTCAGTAAGATCGTCTACTAATGCATCAAACAGGGCAAAGTGGCACTCTTCCAGATTTTTGATGGTTAAAAGTAAGTTTCTAAAAAAAATATTTTTTTATAAACAAATCTACGAATACCGCATTTTAATGTACCTTAGTAGTTTATCTCGAAATTGTCGAGGTAAAGCATTTAAAAATTTCAAAACTGCGTTGGAGTAATTGGATGAGTCAAGTAAATGCCGAGTTAATTCTTCTTGTAATACACTGGGGTAATTTACACAGAATGTATTTAAATTATTTTGAAGTCGATCCGAATGTTCTGCGAGTAGCTGAAGTAATACAATAGCAAGTATTTAAACAATTTGGGTAATTCGTTTAAAAATTTACCTGTTTGATTAGAATATGCTTGATATAAGCTTTGATGACTTCTTCTTTGTTGTACAGAGATATCATCATAATTCCCAAATCGACAGAGTTTTCCACTGTTAAATCCTCGGATAATTTATTAAAAATCGCGTCTAGATCTAAATTAGAATCATTAAGATTCGGCATCTCGTTACAAGTTTCGTTACTTTTATTTTGCAATATCTCTTTTATCGTGCTCGCTACATCGTCAACGATTTTATCAAGTGGTTGCGGATCGTCTTCCAAAATTTGTGTTATTATTGTATCTATTTCATCTTCATTATCGCTCGTTAAATCTATCGTATCGGTAACTTCTGGACTTTCATCTGAAACATTCGTCTATTTGCTTATTAAGTCGATTGTTAATTCGTATGTAATATTTTGAATTTACCATTTGTAGAATTTTAGAAAGACTGTGGTGAGTGTTAAGGTTGCAAAATGGATTCGATTTGTATTGATTAGCTTTTTTAATGAAACTCATAAGAAGCGGTTTGTTTTCTTCGCAAAATTCGTACCTTGGTACCCGTATATTCATTTTTAGTAAGTTTAAATTGAATCGATTAAATTGAATTTTTGAAATCGCTAATCGAGGTTAGTTTTTTGTTTTGACAAGTTGTCGATGTCAGTTGTCATACTTTGTGTAGCTTTGACTCTACTTGTATTCAGTTAATTGACTTTATTAACAAATTCATGTTAGAAAGAAAGAAGAAAAAATATATTTCATCGTTCGAAAAATAATTTTCTAGCATTCTATCAGTTTAGTGACCTTTTGTTGTCTACTATAGCTGTAAGATTAAACAATTTCATTAAGAATTGGTATTTTTAGCCATGCGACGTTTACAAATGTTGACATAGTTTTATTATAAATAAGAAGAAGATTGTTGACATTTCGTTCTGTCATTTTTGTAAAATGGTGGTGTAATTACGTAAATATTTAAAAAAACATATTTTAACTGTTAATAACTAAACTAGCATCGTTCTTAGTGCATTCAACTATTCACGGTACTATTATAAATAAACGTACATATCAAATATTCCAATTTATAACTGGTTGTTTGTGTTTTTTTTTAGATGCTGCGCAATATTCTACAGCCATGCAAAGAAGCTTTAACTAGTCCGAATATTATTAGGAACATAACAGCGGGTAATTTTGGAAATGTGCAGTTACAGCATGTGCAAAAGCGAGAACAATCCACGCAGCCTGTTGAGGTACACAAACCTTATTCCCCGTTTCAAGTAAGCAGAAGCAATCTTGGCGAATACGCTCTAGCGAGACTCGATGATTTGTTGAATTGGGGCCGTAAGAATTCCATGTGGCCTCTTACTTTCGGGCTGGCGTGCTGTGCTGTTGAAATGATGCACATCGCAGCTCCCCGATACGATATGGACAGGTTAGTTTTGTTTAGTGTAAAAAGGTTCGATTACATGTGTTAAATTATTAATCTGGTTGCAGGTATGGTGTAGTATTTAGGGCTTCCCCTCGTCAAGCTGACGTTATTATTGTAGCGGGTACATTGACAAATAAAATGGCTCCGGCTTTGAGGAAAGTGTACGATCAAATGCCCGAACCGAGATGGGTGATTTCCATGGGTAGTTGCGCTAACGGTGGTGGTTACTATCATTATTCATATTCTGTTGTTAGGTAAGTAAAGTTCGATTTTAAATGAAGAATTGAGATTAATTTAAATTTTTTTAGGGGTTGTGATAGAATTATACCAGTAGATATTTACGTGCCCGGATGTCCACCAACGGCAGAGGCACTTTTGTATGGGATTCTCCAGTTGCAAAAGAAGGTAAAGAGGATGAATACGATGCAAATGTGGTACAGAAAGTAACAATATTATAATTAATTAGGTAACAAATAAATGATATATCCAAAACGTTCCTTTTTTATTCAATTTGTATCGAAAGCTTTCATTGCAAGTGTACGAATTAAGAACGACACAATGATTTTATTACTGTAATGTTTGTATTTTAATATTCTGTCTCTATTTCGTATTTAACGGTAGTAAGTTTATTGTAAGAAAAGAAAAATATCCTTGAAAGTGTTTAGTTTTATTTATTTTGAAATTACCAACAAGTTTTATAGTGTATCATTTCTAAAATCTATCAGTTTATTATTAGATGGCGCTTATCTAAGAATACAGTTTCCTACATTTACTGGCTGTATGCCTCAGAGCAAGAGGCCATATAAAAGAGAAGAAAAAGAAGATCATACAGATGGCGCCACGAACAAAATTATAAATGCACATGTCGGCGACCGGAGCGCTCAGTCCCTCCTTTGCCACGGTAGGGGTATGTTGCTCTTTTATAGGAAAAAAATGCGCAGGATTCAAAGTACTCATCGTCACGAATGATCATCATAATCTTGAATGTTGGTAAAATTTGTTGGTCCACCGTCCTCCCCCACCGGTGCCTCCCCTTTGCTATACTTTCTTAAGTAACCTAAGCATACGTGATCGTGCGCGATGTGTTGCAAAAAGTTTTGTCGCCATCTATTGAATTTTTATCGAACTAAGATTCGGTTTATGATTACTACTAGGCAGGCAACCAGTTTTCCGCTTAATAGAAATTTATAAACTCGCTATCTCCACCAATTTTTCAATCGAGCTTCATTTAAGTTATAATATGGGGATGTTATACGACTTCTTTAAGCAATTGAAATAATTTAAACCATATTTATTCTGTTTTAATTTTATTCACAAAAATTATTGCCGAGTTTATACAAAGGTAACTTTCATAAAATATAGAAGTATTTACAATTGCCATTTTGTAGTCGAGGGTTAAATTTCTTGTCAAGTTCTATTATCCTGTTCACTAACAAAACGTGAATATTTAAAGATTCACGAAATAGTCCTAAATATTATTGCAAAAACCTTTAATATAGGATGTTTGAAACATTATAAGTATGTACAAATATTAAATTTTACAGGAATAGGTACGCGTTTTTTATAATTCATTACATTCATAGTACCTTTGCTGGTTTAGTCATGTTATATTCTTATTCTATGTCACAATATTGGCACAATATTTCATAATAATTTACAGTATAAAAATAATGTATAAACTGAAAACATAAATTTGATAATCAGATGTAACAATATAAAATTTCAAAAAAATTAACTTCACAAATACGATTCTACTTAAGGCACTTGAAGTTTCATCAACCTTGTTAAAATACAACATTTCTAACGACGTGTCGTTAGAAAATATCCGTTTAAATATATCGTAATAACATATAAATCTCACAGAGCTGTTTATTTAATATTAAACAAAAGCGATGAACTTTCGTTTAACATTTAACAAACTTCGAGTGCTATATTCACAACTTACGAATTAAAAAAACATTAAGTAGTCTAAAAATGTACGTCCCATCCGGATATATCGTCCGGAGGCAGGGCTTCCGTATCACGAGGGTATTTGTCGAAATTAGATGTATCCGTAACGTTTTGCACCCTCGGTAAAATCGGAGGCGATAACGTTCGATTGACCAGTCCTTCCCAATTGAAACCATCGAACCACCTTCCAAAGAAAATCACGCATTAAAAAAAAAACCATCAATTTTTATTATTCGGCTTACTTGTGCTTTTGTATATCGCTTATTCCGCCTTTCTGGTAACCGAGACGCTCCGCAGGGTTATCTCTGCACAATCGCTTGATCAGCGCTTGCGCGTTTCTCGTTATAGACCTAGGGAAATCGATCTGATCGATACCTTTCAGGATGATGTTGTATGTTCTCATCGGATCCGATCCTACGGGAATACAAATATTAATACCATTTGCGCTATAAGCGAAAGAGAAATAAAAGAGAAAATAATAAAAGTAGGGAGAAAACGCTTTAGATGAGGTACGTGAAATTAAAGTAGGGAGAAAAGGATTTGAATTAGGGAGCTAAAGTAAAAGTAGGGAGAAAGCAAAATTTGAACAAGGCAAAATAAAAGTAGGGAGAAAATATTTTGAATTAGAGAGATAAAATAAAAGTAGGTAGAAAAGGATTTGAATTAGGGAGCTAAAGTAAAATTAGGGAGAAAGCAAAATTTGAACAAGGCAAAATAAAAGTAGGGAGAAAATATTTTGAATTAGAGAGATAAAATAAAAGTAGGGAGAAAAGGATTTGAATTAGGGAGCTTAAGTAAAAGTAGGGAGAAAACAAAATTTGAATTAAAGAGGTAAAATAAAAGTAGGGAGAAAATGCTTTAGATTAGAGAGATAAAATAAAAGTAGGGAGAAAAGGATTTGAATTAGGGAGCTAAAGTAAAAGTAGGGAGAAAGCAAAATTTGAACAAGGCAAAATAAAAGTAGGGAGAAAATATTTTGAATTAGAGAGATAAAATAAAAGTAGGTAGAAAAGGATTTGAATTAGGGAGCTAAAGTAAAATTAGGGAGAAAGCAAAATTTGAACAAGGCAAAATAAAAGTAGGGAGAAAATATTTTGAATTAGAGAGATAAAATAAAAGTAGGGAGAAAAGGATTTGAATTAGGGAGCTTAAGTAAAAGTAGGGAGAAAACAAAATTTGAATTAAAGAGGTAAAATAAAAGTAGGGAGAAAATGCTTTAGATTAGAGAGATAAAATAAAAGTAGGGAGAAAAGGATTTGAATTAGGGAGCTTAAGTAAAAGTAGGGAGAAAACAAAATTTGAATTAAAGAGGTAAAATAAAAGTAGGGAGAAAATGCTTTAGATTAGAGAGATAAAATAAAAGTAGGGAGAAACTGTTTTGAATTAGAGAGATAAAATAAAAGTAGGGAGAAAGCACAATCTGAATTAGGAAGGTAAAATAAAAGTAGGGAGAAAACAAATTGAATAAGAGAGGTCAAATAAATGTAGAGAGAAAGCTGTTGAGGTAGGAATTAGGAAAAGGGTACAAACCACCTTTCTCCAGGTGAATAAACGCTGCACAAAAGTCTTTCTTACCGGTAAACGGCGGTGTGCCCGTCAACAATTCGAACATCAGCACGCCCAACGACCAATAGTCGGCGCTGATGTCGTGCCCTTTGTTCAAAATCACCTCGGGCGCGACGTATTCGGGCGTGCCGCAGAACGTCCACGTCTTCCTTCCCGTTTGAAGTTTCTTCGCGAACCCGAAATCCACCAGCTTCACGTAACCGGAATTGTCCAATAGCAGGTTTTCCGGCTTCAAATCCCTGTAGATGATGTTCCTCGAATGCAAATAGTCGAACGCCAGTACCACGCAAGCCGTGTAGAATTTCGTTGTTGCTGATAACGAAAGAAAAAAATAACAATCGAGTTTTTAAGTTATCCGACATTTAAAAGTAAATTTACGAAAATCTCACCGTCATCGAAATGTCCTTTGTCCCGCAAAACCGTCCACAACTCGCCGCCCAGGCAGCTCTCCATCAGCATGTAGAGATATTTGGCGTCCTTGAAGGTTTTGAACAGCTTAACGATGAAATCGCAATTCGCCTCGCCCATGATCTCTTTCTCGGACATGATGTGCTGCTGTTGGCGCGTCTCCACGATTTGGGCCTTCTTCATCTGCTTCAGGGCGTACGATTTCGACGGGCGGCCCTTGATTTGCACCAATTCCACCCGCCCGAAACCGCCGACGCCCAGCGTCGTCAATACCGACAGATCCGAGAGCGTCACGTTTTCGAACACCGAGTCCACTCTATCAAATAAAAAAATTTATAATTCCTTCGCATATAGTTCGTAGTATGTTTTAAAATACTTGTTCGTTGAATTACTTACAGCTAAAAATTCCTAAGTAAGCTAAATTTTTAACAAACATATTTTTTTTAATAGATTAATAATATCATCGTGTTAACTCACCTCCTCTTTTCCAAATTATCATCTTTGTATTTAGTCCTGATTTCGTCCAAATCTGATATCAATTGATTGAACGTTTCTCTGTCGATGACGAGCGTCGTAACCCCTTCGGGATCGTCCACTATCACGTTGGCTGTTCTTAAATCATCCCTATACGACAATCGTAACCCCATTAGCTCTAATTATGTGTATAAACTAGAGTGTAAAACTCACCCTTGCAGGGCCTTTTCGCCGAAGAAGTCGCCCTTTCCCAGCGTCCTGATGAACTCCTCTTTGGCGCTGTTCGGTTTTTTCATCGTCACCTTCACCTTGCCCCTGCTGATGATGAAGAACGTGTCGCCCCTGGCGCCCTGCCTGATGATGTAATCGCCGTTGGCGTAGACGGTTTCTTCCAAAACATCGGAGATTTTGATGAGTGTGTCTTCCGGTAAGGTTTTGAAAATTGGCACGCTGGAAGAGAATTTTATTAAAAAGTTATATTGAAAGGGTTGGGAGAATGTGCAAGGGTGCCAACTGAAGTTAAAAGTAAGATTTTTTTGGCAGGTTTCTAGTTACTGAATTGAGTGTTCGTGTCAAAGATGTCAGACATTTTATATTCGATGAATATACAAACAATAAAATAACTCACCGGCGTTTTTTAACTGAAAACGATACATTTCCGAAACGGTATTTATAATTTATTTTAATTTTTAATCGCCGCAAAATAAACCCGAAGAATCTACCCGAATTACTCATTTCTTACGAACGCCACGAAAGCGGTATTTTCTTATTGTTGTTGTTAGTACAACTGACAATAAAGGAAAATATTTCACAAATGTGGAACATTTTTAGACGACAAATAATTTTGTTGTATATTAGTGATTTAAATAACATTTTAATAGCATGTTGTACTGATAAATAATTTCGCAGTAGTGTCAACGTTTCGTGTTTATGTTTTGTTACTCGCCTACGGATGGATAATAACTAATAATTCAAGCGGGTCAGAAGCCAAAAGAACAAATTTTATAAAATATACCAATTTCTATTTTTTTACTATTTTATTTTACTCTTAACTGAATTAGAGATGTGGGAGGTTAAAGAGAGGTTAAAAAAAACTAGGGAGAAAACACTGAATTAGGGAAGGTAAAATAAAAGTAGGGCGAAAACACAGAAAAAGATCAAATTTTAAAAAATGTACTAATTTCTATTTTATTTTACTCTAACTTAATCAGAGATGTGGAATAACACTAGGGAGCAAATACTTTAATGCAAAGATGAAATAAAACTGGGGAGAAAACTCTTTGAATTGGATATAAAACTAGGGAGAAAACACTTTGAATTTGAGGTAAAATTAAAGTAGAGTGAAAATGCTTAGAATTAGAGAGGCAAATTAAAAGTATTGGGAAAACGCTTTGAATTAGGGACGTTATATAAAAGTAGGGAGAAAAAATATTATTTCTATTCGAAATAAATACTGAAAAAATATATTATATTTACCTCTTCAAAAAGTCGGTGTATTCCGCTTGCCTGATGAGACCCGTTCTCATCATGATGGTTTGGAAACATTGTCTTTCTATGGCCCATAGCTTACAATCCGTATGGGCTTTAATAGTAGCGGTTCTCTGGCAGTTGTACAAAATGGCCAATTCGCCGAGAACTTTTCCGGAATCCAGATGATGCAAGATTTTATTTTCCCTGGATACTTCTACTTTTCCATCTAGAACAAACGCAAAGGTAGGTTTTATCGCTCTGTATACTTTAGATCTAAGTAGGTATACAATTAATCACGAGCGCTTTAATAATACAAATTTAAGTGGGCATTATAACGCTTTTATATGGGAGTTTGTCAAGCATAAGTACCGTTGCTTTTGAATACGAAAAGAAAACCAATTTAAAGTCAATTGGCCATTGAATACAATGCATACATATGGGATGGGCATATTGTATTGTGTTCTTTAAATCACTCTAAAGGAAGAAGTTTATTTCAATTTATTCCTTAATAATTTAAAATAATCAGCAACAGTATACAAGTAAGTCAAAATATGCATCAATATACTAGCAGTATCTTTACCTGTAGTCAAAATTTGATCAACCCAGGCGTCATAAAGTCGTTGACTTAAAAAAAAAGGAAAAAATCTCGAAATCAACTTCCCACTTAATTTTTGAGTAACGAGATCCGTTTACAGCGATTGCATCTTCATCTTTCGGTGTATCGGGCATGCAAATAACTTGTAAGCGTGGGCAAATTCGTTATACCTTACCATAATTAGGCAGGTACGGGTACTAACAAAACGAATTTTTTATAATATTTATGGGCTTTACGCCTGGCAGACGGGTCGCATAAATTCGAGGGATTTTTTTTGTAAATTGAGGCGCAAAAATTTCATCTTGAATAATGAAAGTGAAATTCTAAACGATAACAAATTGCGAATTACAGTTGCGTTGATTGAACTGTTACTAATATACAAATATGCAGTAATAACGGGTCATTACCTGACAACACTTGTTTTATAATGAACGGACGAATCGATTTTCTCACGATTCGAACAGTTAAAAACGAAAGTCGCTTAATTACATATCTATTATTTTTAAATAAAGTACAATGAACGCAGAGAAAGGTACTCAAATCGATATATAGTAGCATATTCTTTGCATAATAACATCACGGCAAAAAGAAGGTGAAAATTACAGTTTTGAGATTGGATTGTTATGGATAATATATTTTTTAAATAAGGAGCTTTCCAATTGAGTGTACCTACACACACAAAAATAAATTTATTCATAAAAATTATCTACGATTTCTAAATTAAACGAAAGAACCATCGACTGTTATAAATTGTTTAAAAAATATTGGATAAATTGTGCAAGAACTTTCACTTCGAAAAAAAAGTTGGCTGGATTCTTCTAATTAATTTTAAATCCATACACCGGACAACCTGTAACGATTTTTCTAAGCAATAAAAATATTTAATTACATTAAATTGTTGTTTCAATATTGTTAAAACACATATTTTGGGCAAAAAGAATTTCTCGCCGTACATTTTTTGGTATTAAATAATTCTTCATTAAAATTCATTTAAAAATACAAACTTACGTTATTCTTACTTAAACTTAAACAATATCCAACCGTAATTATAATCCCATTTCTTTTGATAAAAATGGTGATGAAATAATTCTTTTATAACACAAGTACAATAAGTCATCAAAAGTGACCATGAGGTCGTCAAATCTTCTTCCACGAGTCTCGATTTATTTATCATTATTAATGCAAACAATAGCGTGAAAAGTGAAAATCACTTTCTTGCGCGCACACGAACTTCCTCCAATTAAACTGGAATTCGTTTTGTGCAAATAATTGATCGATCGAATAGGAAAATAAATTAGCAAAATCTGTATCTGAGCATTAGAGAGCCGTTTTGTGATATAACGTGATGGATGTTTCGCTCAAATCGTGACCGTGAGATTTATTGAAAGTTTCGTAATGAGGAATAATTGTAATAGCAATGAGCATCGTGAGCGTAATGGCTGTTATAAAAATTGTTGAAGAACTAATCATCGATTGTGCGGATTAGTTTTTTTTTCGCTCTAACGGACAGACGGTATTCATTCTGCATTTCTACGTACTCGAATATTTAAATACAAGAATTTCATCGCCCGATAATGAGCCAATAAATATTAGCTACAGCTATTGTCGATTGAAATTGCAAACATTTTTTTTAGAAATCTGGCATTCGCAATTGCACATGCGATGCACGACAGAAAAAAAAATACCTATTACGAGTTTCACCGACGAGACTTTTCTAATAAAATGTTTAAACAAAAAGGAGAAATTGCCGAGCGCTCGAGTCGTTTTTACCATATTTGTAGAGCCATTATAAACAAGGAAGACTGTTTAAATTTTGCGAAATATTAGCGACTTGACAACCCCACAAGCCATTACACCATTTTATAATATATCCATTACAAGCGAAATAAACAAGAAATTCGAAATTAACAACTAAAAAAAAAAGCGGTTGCGTGACGAGCACTCGATACCTGAAGAAGTTTTCGTACGCACCAGGTAGGGCTACCGAATGGTTTTTGTCGAGTAAGTGCAGGAGGATTCTGTCGAACGAGGCGCGCGTGAAATAATGCAGGAACATGCAAGGCAAGAAACTAATTGGATGTAATATCGGAATTAATGATGCGGGAAAACGGGCTCTACATCGAAAGGGTTTTTTCACTGTTTCGTTCGGTTTAATTAGCTGTATATTAAACGAAGTTTGAGATTTTTGTATAATAGAGTAACATTGCCGGTCATCAACAAATTTTGCCGGTTTATTTTAAGGATTAGAAGGACTATGTAAAAAGATTTGATGGCGAAAAGGATAGCAAAATTCATGGGAATCGGACCCGGAGGGTCCTATTTCTTATCTAAATGCCCAATGCACAAGTGCAAGTAACGCCTTATAATGTTAATATCAGCGAAAATTATACGTTATGTGTTGTAAAACATCCTACATCCTACACCTGACCGCAGGGTCAGATTACAATGTTAATATTTCTTCAAGTTTACAGATATAATACTTTCTATTTCGTTGAAATGAGTAAAATAATAATAAAGAAATCAATATATAATAATATACCTAACGATGCTCCTAATTAAGAACATCCTGTATTTTATTTCTAACATAAATTATGTGTGGAACAAGTCATTTTGTAGTGTCATAAAGATAAAATAAGTTCAAAAAGGCGAGTGCGGGACTGTACTGATGAATATAGGAATACACACAGACGTTCTGCCAAGCCTATGAAAACTTGAGAGAGGATATACACGTTTTATTTTATCTAGATTGCATTCTGTTTAGCAAAACTCAAACAATGATTATGTTTAGAATGAGGCGTGGGCATTCGCATAGTTCACATCATGCTTCGCCCATCTCATGCAATTTCGCATTCTAACATAATTAGTCTTCTATTGACAATTGCTTTTCTTAATTATTAACTTGTGAACGGTGTACAGGTAATATTTAGAATAATTCGCCTTCGATTTTGTGCACAATCATTCGATTAGTTATTTGTTCGTTTTGGCGCTTATGGGCGCACGGTGATTTCGCAAAAAATAGATAGAAAACCGATAAAAAATCTAGTAAGGCCAACGAGTCTATTGAATTTCGTTAGAAAAAATACGTTCCGATCGGTAAATGTATTCGATGGACCGTGAATTTATTGAAATTTATCCAAAATAAGTAATAAAATAATTTGGTGTATATTCAACGGGTTCTTCGAATAATTTAGAATTGTATTTTCGAATCTATTACTAGACAAAATACATACCTACATCGATATATGGGATATATTCTAAAACAGTTAATAACTGTTACAGCGCACAAACTCCTTTTCTAGATACAGAAAAGTACCTAGAAACGGGAAATTCTAGTACCTAATAGTGTACGTTAAATAATCTAAATAAGGAAATCCCGTAGCTCTTCTAACAGAGCAATCCTAATGGAATCCGCGCCATCCGACTCTCGTAGGTGGTTTAACACATCAAGATAAATGTTATTAGATACAAGAAGCATTTGTTAACTCAAACGTTTGTTAATTTATCGTGTGTTTAGACCAACCATAATGCTAATTTTACTTCAAATAATCACACAATTTTATTTTCTAATAACTTTCCTTAACGAAATCAATACGATTTACTGTTTGGTACAGATGTGTTGACAATACTTTCAGAGAGTTTAAAAAATTTCGTAAAGAAGAAAACATGAAAATTTTCTGGTTTATAAGCAAATTTTGTCTTAAAGATGAATAGAAATCCGGTACTAATTTACATTGAACTTATTCTTCCAATCAAAACGACAAATTGCAACTTGCAAAAAAAACTCCAATCACCGAATCAACGATCTTAAAAAAATTAATCGAATACGTCCCTGTTCCGGGGGCATTCTCGTGGCTGCGAACCCGACGATTTAGCGATTTTCCAGTACCGACCGCGGGGTCAATTATCCTCTTGTCACGAATTTATATTTACTACTTAAAATGTGCACCGAGCAAAAAGTGCAACGTTTGTGAAATGATTATAATAAAAACGGTCGATGCGCGTGTACCGTTAACAAACGAAACGTCGAGCCCATGCGAACGGAGCCTTAACTGATTGATGGTTACTTACGTGTTACGATTGTTTTATAACGTTTTGATGGTTGCAAACGGAATGCCGAACGAGCATCCAATGCATAATGCACAACTACGTACTTCCTTACTGTTACCCAATCAATTTTACCGCTCCTATTCCTTCTATACAGATCAGTCTACATGGTAGTGTCAATCCAGGAGCCCTCTATGTGGATTCAAAGGAAAAGAGATTTGTACCAATATGTCGACTCACAAGAGAGGATGTTGAATCCCAAGAGATGATGTTGAATCCCAAGAGATGATGTTGAATCTCAAGAGAGGATGTGGACTTTCAAGAGGAGTTTTAAGAGAGGATATGAAGTCTCAAGAGAGCATTTGTACCAATATGTGGACTCACAAGGGAGAATGTGGAACCTCAAGAGAGAATTAGTACCAATATGTAGACCCTGAAGAATGAATTTGAAGCAATAAATGGACTGACAAGAGAGGAGTTGTACCAATATGTATAGACCTTGAAGAATGAATTTGAAGCAATATGTGGACTCACAAGAGTGGATTTGTAACCAATATGTAGACTCACAAGAGAGAATGTTGAATCTCAAGAGAGGATGTGGACTTTCAAACGGAGTTTTAAGAGAGGATATGAAGTCTCAAGAGAGCATTTGTACCAATATGTGGACTCACAAGGGAGAATGTGGAACCTCAAGAGAGAATTAGTACCAATATGTAGACCCTCAAGAATAAATTTGACAATATTGTCAAATGGACTGACAAGAGAGGACTTCGACCAATATGTATAGACCCTGCAGAATGGATTTGAACCAATATGTGGACAAGAGTGGATTTGTAACCAATATGTAGACTCACAAGAGAGGAATTGTACGAATATGTGGACTCTCTAGAGAGGAATTGTACCAATATCTAAACTCTCAAGAGAGCATTTTTTCCAATATATGGACTCACGAGAGAGGATGTGGACCATCAAAACATGACTTTTATTAATATGTGAACTCAGAGTGGTTTGTACCAAGATGTAAGATGTAAGACCGATCTAAAATCACACATGTATATCAAATTTAGATGCCTACGCACCGAATTACTTTTTGATGCTACACTAAGTACAGGAAGTGTGAATTTGTCACGTTTATTTTTGTTCGTTTGCGCCGGTATGGCGAATTTCACGCGCTCTTTCGTCTTTTTGTCTTGGAGGAAATCTTGCGGTGGATCACGTATGAGGATGTCGTGCGTACGGATGGGGTTACAGGTCAAAAACGAACGATCTTCAGCCGGTGAAAACGTAGAAGAATGGGACGTTGCGGAATTGAAATAATTCACTTTCCACGGTTGGCGATGCGACATCTTGTACGAGATGAAAAGAAAAAGGTAGAAAAGGTCGTGACGGGAAGAATCTAATAGCAGGAAATGGGAGATTTTTATGGGGATTAGATGCAGTAGAAATTATTTTGCGGAGTCACTTAATCGCGATTTTAGCGTATTTCCTCATTTTGAAATTTATCGCGTTCTTATCTTCAAAACGATTCTGCATTATTTGCATGTGCAAATATTACAAAAATTACCATAATCGTCGATTATTTTAGAGAAAGTGTCTGTTATGTTATCTGCGAAAATCGGCAAAAAGTTGAAGGGTCAAAATACATCAGTGATGTCTTATACTTATATTACGAAAGTTCAACAACCATTATTTATTATAAAAACTCGTACGCTTGCATAAGTCTTAAAACGAAACTGTTAGTTATTAAACAACTATTCTTAATCAATAAAAATTTATCAATTTAATAGGAATTGATACGTCGTGTAGCAGCAATATTTAAATCGCTTGATTTACGAAGATTAATCGGGCACGAAAGTATGCCTTGTATAAACAAATTAGAGATGGAGGATACGAATCGGGGAATTTTTACTAACATACTTTTGAACCGAGTGAACGTACATATGTGTATCAGATAGCCTTGTGATCCTTTTTTTTACCATTCCACGCTTCTACAAAGATGGTAAACAGCGAATGCGGAAGTATTAATACACTTAACGCGCTAGATCTCTAAAAATACGTACCCGTCACTGACTGAATGATCGGGTGTTTAAATTTTAAAAGGGGATTTTTTTTCAGTGCTAGTAGAAATAAGAGTTTAAAAACTGGTAGTTAGTATTGCGAATACTCTTATTATAATAATCACGAATGTGGCTGGTAAATTAAAGGCTCGTTTTTAATTACCCACTTCCAGAGAGAAGCAGTTTTTGTCGGTAGTCGGTTAATTGCGAATGCACAATTTCAACATGGGAACGTTTACTTCGAAACGTTCGCAAGACGTTGAAACTATCGATGAGCAAACGATCGAAATATGCAAAATGGCGGTAGCTGAGACACTTTAAAATTGCTTAAATTACGAGGTTTTTATGACGTCGCGTTTTATTTCTTCCTGAATGCTGCTTGGCATCGAGACTGGACTAGTTTTACGCAAACGTCGCGGTATTATTGTAGTATTTCGAGCGATTTCATCTTTATAAATGCGATATTATTCTCGTATTAAGTTCATAATTCATTATTAAATCTTACTCTCTTTTATGTGAAATAATTTATAGGAATATTGCGCATTGCATGTACCCTTATATCTCCAGCTATTTCTACCGCACTGTACCTAGCTAAAATTATATTTGTATCGAAACCAATTAAAATAACTTAAAGATGTACAGTGCATTGCATTAAATAAAAGTGATTTGTGAACGCGTACTATAACCTTTTGAACAACATTAATAATCGTTATAAAACTGACCTAGTTTTCTTCGGCTACATTATAGATTATGGAGAAGTTGAAACGCATCTTGGTAATTGTATTTCGGGTTATTTATCACTACTTGATAATAGTACGGGTAATAAATTTGCCAATTTTTTAGATTCTATTTATTAGTTTTCATGTTTTCAGTCTAAAGGAACGTGGGTGAATTGGCATTAGAGTTTTCAAGAAATTTCTTAAAATTTATAATTATTTTTCTTATTTACTACTTTATCTAGAAGTGCCTCTAATCGACTAGACTATAATTTAATCACAAGTACACAATTTACTTTAATATTTTATGTATAACAATAAAACCACGATTGAACCGACTCTACTGTAACTTTAACCCGGTTTTAAGCATTTTAAATGAACTGAATATGCATACCGGGTGTGTAGAAAATTACGCTAAACGTCCACCTACGATTTAATAACAAATAACACCGATATCGAGGTTATTACAATTATTAGAGAGAAAGGTAAAAAGGCTATAAAGAGTTCACTTACAAGCTTTGCCCTTTTAATGCATTTTGAATTATTACCCACATAAAAAATTACATAACATGTACATTAAATTTCTAAATGCAATAACGTTCTAATTCGAACGTTAATATTTTTAGAAGAAGAAAAATAATGAGTTTAGCTAAATAGCAAGTGAGAAAATATTAGTAGGTATTTTTTATTCAATTAAATATCTCTCTGCTTGTAGGTATCTCTGTTTAAATGAAATAAAGCATATATTATTAGTATAATAACGGATAATTTTCTTTCATTCGAACGTAAAAAATAATTCCCATTTTAAATAGCACCCTACCATAAATTTTAATTGTTATCTATCTGAATAATACGTATTTATTGTAAAAACATAGTATTTGCTCCAGTAATTTTCGATCGTCCGGGCTAATCTGATTATATAACAAACAATAGCAGTTGTAAACTAAGTATGCTATCTAGTTAACAAACTGTATAATTAGAATTGTTGGTCAATAAACCTTTGTTCGAGTTAAATGCAGTGCATGTATTATTTAACATCCAATAATAGTTAATTAAGTAGTTCAAACACTAAGTACTACCCAAAATGTACTCTTTTATGAGACAAAAGAAGATGTTAACAAGAGATAAAATTTAGTTCAATTTATCAGTACATTTGCAATTGTTGTTTTAGATTGATTGTTTTAGTACTAGAATATCATGTACTCTTCGACAAGTCAAGTCAATCGACCATAAACCTCCACCTCATCCTGACTCACCGATTGCCCGCTAACCAGATAGCAGAAAACGGTTCGCTTACCTTTCGGCTTATCGGCCAAACGAAGATCCTTCTCTTCGACAGTATCCGAAGGGGAATCCACGCACTCCGACATCACGTTACCGGTCCGACGTTTTCTCACGGCGTAAGTGTGCACGGGCACGATCAATTTCGGCCGTGGTATCAGAAAATCGTTGTCGCAATGGCGCTGCGACCGCTGGGGCTGCAAGGAGGCTTGGGGTATCACGATGAGTTTGCGTTTGGGCGACGAGCCGTCTTTGTACAAGCTGTACATCTCGCTGTAATCTTCCTCCGGCGAGCCCGATGATGAGGTCTTGGTGTCGAACGAGCACGAAGACATCGACGATGAAGATGACGATGACGACGAGTAAATGTGCTTAGGCGGCAATCGTTGTCTGGGTTTCTCGTAATGTTCGTAGTAGCCGCTGTCGGTTCGTTTGATCGGTTTCTTCTTTTCGGTTTCCGACGATAGGAGGTATTTGTTCTGATCGTCTATCCAAGTGTTGACTCTTTCTTGCGTCGCTTCGTCGTTTTCTTCGGTTATTTCCGTGCAAACTTCGTCGAATCTCACGGTTTTCTTCAGTTGCTTTTCGATGTCTTCTAAATTTTCCTGGTGTTGGATCGCTAATAATTTCTTCCGAGGTTTCGGTACGGGTGGTATTATCACGTCTGTTTCCGCTCGTTTTTTATTAGTAGGTACGAAATATTTCGCCAGCTCCTCATCTATATTGGTCATATTCTTAGCGTTGATCCTTGATAAACATTTGTCGCTGTGGTATTTTAGTCTAAGACTGCCTTTATTGCTAGCTGGTTTGAAGTTGTCTTCGTTGTCTTTCTTGATTTCTTCCAAAACGCTTTGGTACTGGCCCAGTCTCGACGATACCGTACCGAAACCGTCGGTACTCTTGTGACTGTACTTGTCCCAAGAGTTGGAAGCTGAGCTGTGATTCGACAGCGAGTTCTGAGCATCCTTCCAATTGGCCTCGTATTTGTTCCTCTTGTTAGAGGCGTCATTTTCACACCAAACCGGATAGGAAACCACAGCTTTGCCGGGGTAATGTTTGATTTTCATGTTGTCAATTATAACCTACTCGTATTATCATGGTCGAGAATTTGTTTTTAGTATTAATAGAGGTTTATTACTAGGTATAGAATCTGAAAATAATATTTTACTATTACAATGATGAGAATACTATCTATATTGATAGTAACGTGGCCGGTATGATTGCGTTATTATTGCGATAAAATTGTTGAGGTAAGCAAGTTTAATGAGTTACAGAGTGGCAGAATTATAACTAATTAACTAGAATAGATGTCTCAGAGTGTTTAAATCGTAATTTCAAAACCTGAAAAATTTCTAGTCGTTGAAGAAACTTGATTTAAACATCGATTTTCATATACACCAAGCAAACATGAAACTGCTGGGGTAAACCAATTTAATTAACTTCTACAAACCTCAACTATGTCAAAAGCATTAAATAGAAGTTGAATTGTAATTTGCAACCGGAAAACTCCCTTCTCCCCGGAAGAAAATCGTTCGACGCAGTAATTTGCGCAAGACAACAATGAGACACATCAGATACGTTCCAATTAGTGGAGTACCTGTTAAAGTGTATTTACCGGATCGAGGTGAAACCGGACTAATCCGTGCGTCGAGCCGGAAAAAAAATAATCGCTTTGTTTGAGTTAATCGGCGAAAAACTGGACGGAAAATCGAGGTCGAATCGAATCTAATCGATCATTGCGGGTATCGAATCGGAATAATTGTCGTTAATTATTGCGATCGGTTGATTAATCGAAATTGGGCAAGCCTCCTAGACGAACATTTAAGCTACTTTAGGAGATTTCTTTGTCAGGTTATAATTAAATTTTGTGGCTACCAGAATAATTATATTCAAACCCCGATTGGACGGCGAATAAACATTCGAAAGTCGCTTTACTAGCCTACTTTGTGATGACAAAATAAACCGATCGAAACGATGACAAACCAGAATAGATTATGTCGAGTAGAGTAGAGTGGCATTACAGAAAAAAATATAAAACCCTTTATGAAAATATATTTTTAACAGTAATAGCCAACTTATATTTAGTATAGGTTTGCCAACGTTTGCCCTAACATTTTGACATTATAAGAGAGATTTTCTTGGATTTCTAATGATGTTTTCGTGTGATACATATCACTTTTTGCGTAACGATACTCGCTAGAAAAATACCAATGATTATCTCATGCTTCATAATAAAATTAAGGTCATTGTTTATGTATTCTTTACAGGATAAACACGTTATGTAGGAAGTGAACTTACTAACAATAGTGTCAAGAACGATTTTTCAAAAACCGAACATTTTAATATTTTCAATGATTTCAAATTCCCATAAAATGAATTAATTTCCAATACAATAAATAGCAATTTCTCGTTCAGCGAATAACATCGTTAAATGTCAAAATGTCGGGAGGTCCTACACGAATCGAACGAATGAATCGACCTTCCTTGCATATACAAATAAAACGATCCAAAATGGCGTTTTCCACGATGAAAATAAGTAGAGCATCAAAATATTGTGCAACGAACGGACATGATTTTACTTTCAATTCGAACCAACAAGATATTTATGGCGAAATTTCATTATACACAAGCTTTGTTTAAACCACCCCTAAGAGGCTCGTCCGCTGCGCGAGCTCGATTGGATATTATTGGAAACTACGACTGCTCGATTCATCCGAATGTTCCTAATTACTTTCTTCGATGTTTATGGGATCGCCTTTTCTCCGGCTTGACCACATGCATGGACGAACTTGCACACAAACGACCGTGCTATTTGACAAAAAGTGAAACTGACGTATCTCAAAACTGGTTGTACTACTTATTTATTAGATAGAGCTCTGTTATATTGAAGAATCTAATAAATAGAAAGTTATAGGTATTGAAAATGCACGATTTCCGGTAGCGAGATGTAAAATTGGCCAATTAAAGCAATTATGTATATCTGTTGTTGGTATAAGATATAATAATATAAGCGCCATTACTTAATTTTATTTTAAATATCCATTGTTTTCGATACATAAAATGTTTAAATATTTATTGCATAATTGTATAATGAGCTATCCTAAAAACTCGATAATAATAAGTGTAAAAACATATTCAAAAATGTTATTGAGGCGAATTTTTAGAATGCTTTCTAGTGTTTATTAACTTTCGAGAGAACAGTTTTTAATGTAGAACATAATTTTTAAAGCCAATTGTCCATTATAAATCACAATAATTATTTCTCTATCAATCGGTTGCACATCGAAGATTGAACTTTCTCGTCAGTTGGATCGTTTAAAATTTTAATTTCGAACTAAACCTCCGTGTAGGTTTAACTGCTGAAAGGCAATTACCCGTGAATATTGCGAAGAAAGCTTAAAAACTGAATGAGTAATTTGAAATTACAAATACAAACGGGCATGGAAAATGTAGCTATTATCAAATATGTATAATCTTGTAAGCGTTACTCAATGATTGACTGATTCTGTTCTTTTTATGAATTACTGTTTATATTTCATTTCACAACAATAATTGTGTTTTAATACAACAAAATGTGGTTTAATTATATCAAATTGGAAAAAAATACGGATTGAATAATTAAAATTATTTCTCAATGTAAAATTTTTAATTGAAAATAAAGTGTTTATTATAATTGTTATACTTGACTTCTAATTTTTATGAGCAACTATTTCCCAATACCGTACCTATATTATTTAATAATTGGCATGGAAATGGAGTCATTTAGAGAATACAAGTAGTTGCTTTAAAAAAGTAGATTATACGGAATGAATGTTGCTTTAATTGGTCAACTTTACGAAATTTTTTCACCTTGACTAATAGAAAATCGTTGAGGTTTGTTTGAAATTACACGAAAAAAATATTTCGGCCACGTTACTAACAAGAACACAATGGTTTAATTTTATTCCACAGGTGAAATTCAATTTGTTCGATCTTTAAACATGAATAAATTCCGTGTTTATTTTAATTATTTAATAAATTATAAAAGTAGTAAAATTTAAAATTGACTTCTTCTAATTTTAAATTATAATTTAAACCTTTAACATTAAATCCTTGACTCAAGTTTTATCTTGTCTTTGTTTTACCATAAATCACACCAACAATAGGGACAATCAAAAAAATTAACCACAAGTACATCACACGGAATAAATTCAGCAATGTTTTTATTAAATGTAGCATTTACTCCTATATCAAACAAATTACCTGTTTTATTATTTGTTAACTTATTTCCGTTAAACATTACAAAATGGAAAGTACGAGGAAATGAATCACATACTTATAAATCAACTCAAAATAAACCAGGTATCGACAATTTAAACAAACGAAACAAATTAAATTTTACTCAACAATGCAACTGCCAATGAACCAACCTTTACAACATCGTCGCAACAAAAAAATCCCAAAAATCTCGCACAACAACAAACAATAACCAAATAATATTCGATTCGAATTGTTATAACGCGTCGAAATTACGCGTTGAGCACGCGAAGACGCGACGGCTTTCGATCAAAACTCGGCTCGAACTGAAACCGAAACAACAATGGAATGGAAACGGACAAGTCGGGTCCGTTCCGCGGCGATCGCACGGAAAAGATCTCCTCCTGCCTGTCGCAGGACGCAACGGAGAGGATGGGAAAGTGTGCAAAATCGAACGGCGTTTCTAGCGAAGGCGGTTTCGGTGATTTCAATGCCGCCAGTTCCGCGGAAATTCGGAGATTCGAGACGATTTTTTCGCAACAAATTCGAGTTACTTATACAGATTGTTATGGGGTTTAATTAGAGAGATATTTAATTGTTATTTGAAATGAATATAGTAAAACTACTCGTTTAATTTTAACTTATTTCATTTGAAATTTTAGAGATTCGAAAAGATTTTTGATGGCTACTTTTTGCACAAATTCCAGTTGCTTATACAAATTGTTCTAATTTAAATGCTGGGGTTTAATTAGAGAAATATTTAATTGTAATTTTAATTGTTGGTTTGTACTAAAAATGTTCGTTTAACTATAATTTCATAATTTATCATTCTAAAAATGTTATTTTAAAGAACAATTTACAACAATATTAAATATATTTTGGCTAAATTAATGTAGGTAAGGTAGACTGGGGCAAATGCTGATACCACATTAAATTCACAACTTCCTAAACTAAATGTTGACAATATGTTACATTTACTCCATGGTACGGGGTAAACAAACGGTTCTAAAGAGATAATACAATTATATAGAAAAGCATACAGGGCAATTGTAAATACATATTTGATTCCTCTAAAATTTGATATGCTGTTTATTTATTTATTTCAAAAAATAACAGAGCTACAAAGTAATAAAGAAAAAATAAGAAACAAACCCTGTCTAATGCACAAAAGAACTATAAAAATAATAAAAAACTTTAACATAATAGGTACATAATATTACATTTACCCCATTTTTACATTTGCTCCAGTCTACCTTACATCTAAAATAATTAAATGTTACAAAATAAAAAAATCACCTGTGCTTATTAGATGGCAAGGTCAAATTTTACGAAGTCACTCCATGTTTAGGTACGTTGTAGTATAAATAAAGAATAATAAAACTATGACCTACCTTTCGATTGCCATTATTAATAATTTCAAGAGCATCCCATAATAAATTCGTGACTTTTCCTAACGGGAAACTTAAAAGCTTAGAAGTTTAGCGTATAGATAAAAATTACAGGTTGTGTACGATTAGGGGATTTGCCAAAAATAATTAATCCTCGAACGTACGGAAGCGCCCTCGTAAGTAATTAAACGAATTAGCGAGCGTATTGAAGGTGTTTTATAACGAATTCTCGGGCGTAGGCGTTAGCTACTGCTGCTCGAACGTTATATAACCTTTCGGTTAGCGAGGGTGTGTTTTAAAAAAGAGAGACAAATCGCTTCGAGTGAACTCTCGTTGCGCAATCAAACTTGTTATACTAAACGTCATTAACGTTTGCGAAAATGCAACTTTCTAAATAATGTAATTTCAATACGGTGTATTTCTCGGGTAACGTTAACGTAAACGACCCGTAATAGATATAATTGATATTTGTAATTGTTTTAATTTCAAAATACGAGGTGTACCATATACGAAACTGTTCCTATTAATTTAATTCCTTTATAACCAGCAATTTTCAATTTCAAAAACGTCTATTTTTCACGCGTGATTAACTAACATTTAACCCTTCGTGTAAAAAATACAATATATTTTATGATTTAATTAACTCAATAAATAAGAGTGATCGAATAAATCCTTGTTAAATTCGATTAGACCGAAAGTGAAAGTACATAGAAACACCTTCGAAGTTCGCAACTAACAGACACCTTTTATTACAACTGCGTTTTTTATAATTATTCTAAGTATCGGCCATCGGGAAAGATCAAGGTTGCAGCTTATAAATCCTTATAGTTTACACCATTCGATTAATGCAACAAGTTATATAAAATGTACCACATGAGTCCGGTATTTTCAACTTGAATGAGTGAAAATTATAGATAACTTTTTTAAACAATAAATTTTGCAACCCCATAGAGATTTATCATTATTTATTGTAGGTAGAGATAGTATTGTCCGATTATCTCCAAGATTATATTATATGCGACTTATTTTTTGAAAAATCTTTTGAACGGGGCAATATATTGAGAAAACTACTTATTTCACAGGAAGCCTGAGGAATCCTAAAAGAGTAGAAACCTTCAAAACATGTACTGTAAATAAAAAGAAGTTTTTGTCAATAGTAACACACTCGTAAAATATATTACTAAATATTGCATATTTTCAAAATAATATAAAAAAATAGAGCAGGTTTTTTTATGCAACTCATTCGTCTGCAATCGTGCTATGTGTGTTGTATAACTTAAGTTATCGGTTTTCTCGCAAGTAAAACACGTTTACTTCAACACGAGCTTTCGTTAAAGAGTAACAGAGGTCGCGTGAGTTATCGTTTGAGTTCGATAATAAATTAATAATATACAAGGTGTTGACGGAAAAAGTTTTCAAATAAAAACCCCATCCTGTATGTTTTTGGATGAGATTCTAGGTGGTTAATGGAATAAAATTCTAGACTTACCTTCTAAAACATAGACTATGCTGCCGACGTCGCCTTCTTGAATTATAATACTGCCCGCTTTGTATTCCTCCGGGTGCATGCAATCGACGATTTCCCTGATTTGCGTGAGCTCCAAATTCTTCATGAAATCGTTATCCAGTATCGCAGATTTTATCAATTCTCGAGAACTGAAACAAAACATTACAATTCAAAACATGCGACGTATACATCACAAATTATGAACTCCTCAAAAAATTCAATCAATATAAATATCTTTTTTTTTCTGATAAAACTTGTCACTGATGTCACTGACAAAAATGGATTAAATATTTTCATCCTGTAGACAAATTGGGCGCGGAGATTAAAAGGTACTTTTAATATGACAAATTGGGCGCAGAGTCCACCAAAAATAATTTCAAATCTATTACAAATTAGATTTCCTCAAAGCACTTTGCTCTGCTCTGCTCTGCTCTGCTCTGCTCTGCTCTGCTCTGCTCTGCTCTGCTCTGCTCTGCTCTGCTCTGCTCTGCTCTGCTCTGCTCTGCTCTGCTCTGCTCTGCTCTGCTCTGCTCTGCTCTGCTCTGCTCTGCTCTGCTCTGCTCTGCTCTGCTCTGCTCTGCTCTGCTTCTATCATAGTCTAATCATAATCTACCATATCCTAAATTTTCAAATAATTCCCTTTTTCTAGCTGAAATATTCTTGAGCCCACAATTTTCATATATAGGATTAAAATGCCCTTTTTAGATCTTAAGTATGTAATAAAAACATTTTTGCGCCCAATCTACCACCGCCGAATATGGTCCTGTAAGGGTATATGTAAAAAATTGAAATAAACGTATAATTACTTTATTTTCAAATAAATCCATAAATTCATTTCTTTGGGCTACCAGCTAAAAAGTTTCGAACAAAAGGAACACAAAGCGACCATCACAATGATCAGTAATAACAAGAATCGAGCCGAACGTGCCCATTACTTAACGAAAAGTGGCCATTAACGCTTGCATACAGCAGGTAGGCAGTCGCAGAACGGCCCGTGTAATTTATTATTCCACGTCCGACACTCGCAGAGCTCTTTTTACATAATTCAACGATAAATAAACAAACGGTTTTATTAAGATATCACAAAACGGCTGCAGAAATTAACCAGAACTGTATATTAGCCGTTTATTTACTACTAATACACTATTTGGTTACCACCAAGATTTTCCATGATAATACGAGTAATATTCCAATGCTATAGCATTAAAAAATAATATCAACATATTTATTTACAATGGCAATATTGTGGAAAAGTCACCACACACAGACGTATTGTTCTCTTCGTTAAAAAAATATCGCGAGTCTATCCGTGACCTGAATGTTCACATTATCACAGAAAATAATTTTACAATAAATGTAAATAAAGATAATTTTCTAAATAAACATCGGCTCTCTAGTTGTTTAATTTACCAATTATGGTCGCGATCGAACCGATCGATCCAATGACAGTCAAAGCGAACGAAATGACTCGTTTTCTACCAAATAGAAACGCTATAGTAAACAATGTTCACGTTAACCCCTCCATGACGTCACACAAACTTAACGTTAACTCAATCATACGCATATATTTGTACGAATAAATTGATGAAGTTTAGTAGTAGAAAGAAGTAAACAATTTATAGCCTACATTACTTTTGGCACGACTAAAGAATTTATATGTAAATTGAATTTGTGTAATAATATTAAGATTCTACATCGAGTTTACAACACGAACTATTAGTCTTACTGATAGTACCACCTAGTAGATCTCGTACTAGATAAATGTTTACTCGAAAGCGTTGACGCTTTATTTGCATAATTTGCAAATCGAATCGATACATCATCGAGTTGGCTCGGATGCAAAACGATCAAAAAGCCGGTATCGCTAATCTTTTATATGTCAATTAATGCACGCGGTGATAAATCGTTTAATTCCCCGCGTTTATCGAATTGTGCACTTATTTGGGTAAACGCAGTCAAAACTCGAACTATTAAGGGTAATTATAAGCGAGATAATATGCAAATACTAAGGTGGTTTTAAAACGGTTCCATTAAATTTCGCTGTAGGTATGTGAGGAATATTTCCAATTAGTTTTTGTTAACAATCTGCCTTATCCTTGGTAGAAAGCGTATGTCCTGTATGTGGAACTTACCGAGGACTTTTGGGTATTTTTCTGATCTGCATGCAAGCCTCTTTGCTCAAAGGCTCCGCGCTGATGGCCTGTCTCTTGGTCCTCTGTTGCTCCGGCTCCGGATGCTCCCTGATTTGCTTGCTAATAATTTTGTGAGTCAACGGCCTCACGACCTGCCTGAATTTATCGATTTCGTTCTGCAGGTGCTTGATCAAACCGTCCTTATCGTGCAGCTCCTGCTCGAGCAGCCGGATCCTCTCCTGCTTGGTCTTCAATTCGCGGTTTTTCTCTTCGAGCATTCGCCTCAAAGAGGTCGCCAGTTCGGCGTCCTTTTGAGCCGTTTGAGCGGGCATCTCGTCGTTCTGTATTATCGGTTCGGCGCTTATTTTATTTCTGTACAGCAGTTTCGTGATGAACGTGTAGCAACTCATTTGGTTATTGTATTGTTTAGATCATTGTTTATTCGACGCCTACTGTTTACACTGTAATGTTATGTAATCACTAATAATCTTTTTATTATTGGGTAAAATT